AGTGGCAGGAAGTTGGGGAAAGTGGGGGAAGTCGATGAGGAGGACAGAGGGCCGGAGGGGGGGGGGTCGTACCAACCCCAAAAAACGGGGGAGGGTCGTACAGACTCGACTAAAATCCCAACCAATGATGTGCCCTGATTGCTAAGTGTAGTACGACTGTAGTACGCTAGTGCAGTACGACTGACTGTACGCACTACGACACCTGTATATTGTGATTTTATACGATTCATTATATGGATTTCGGCGCAGTTTGTCGACGGGGGGGGGGGCATTTTGCTTTCCATAGATGTGTCGACCCATCTAGGTAGCCGTTTCTCGAGTTGACACGTTTTAGGATAGTGGCTAGACGATCTTACTTCAGCTTCACAAGAGTTCACAAGTTTTACCAGAGTGAGATTTGTAAACCGGAACTAGGGAAGCAATGATAGTACAAAATGCCCCCCCCGTCGACAAACAGCACCTGGATTTCTCATGAAAGCCTCGCTGGCATTCCTAGCCTTCCATTCCTAGCCAGGTGTTTTAAAGGCAATGCCCGCGATCACTTGCGATAACAGATAGTGGATAAGGGGTTTGCATATAGATCATTAGATTCTGAGTAATTTGATAGTGAAGAAAAAAGCAGAAAAAGCATGCCGACTGCACTAAGTAGAACCCCATTCCTGTCGCAGTTCAGAGAGAGACCGCCCTACTAGTCCTCTCCCACGACGAGCATCGGTGTATCGAGGGTCCGCTTACACACCATTAGCCCACCTCGGTCTCACAGTTCCCCGGGACCAAAGAATACACTAGCTCTCTCGACCACGGATAGTCTCGGTCCCGAGGGCCGACCGGGCCTACCCCATAGAGAAATAGATAGAGTAGAGAACCATGACAGTTACAAGTGGTGGGTCCGACCTCCCCATGTCCATCGTAACCTGGAGGGTCGGCCAGAAATCGCCACTGACCAGGCAGCCTGAGAGATACCGATCTAAATATATAATTACCCCGCCGCACACCCTGAGGCATGCAATAAACGCAACTACGAAAAACGCAGTAGAAACATAACAAACATAAGTTATGCCTATTACCGACCTGTAAAATCCCAAAAGCCTTACAGCATTGAGGACACTTGCTCGAATAGCAAATCCCAAAACCACCTATTAAATATTAGCAAAGTAAATAAACTTCCTAATTTATTATTCACAGTGTATTGCGGTAACGTTTTCAGACTGTCCTTAGATAACCTGACGTAGCTGGAACTGACCGCATCTATCTGCTACCATCTGTCCTAGCGGTAATCCTAGCGGTAATGGCGCTCTGCGGCTACAAGCTGCAACCCGCAGCCGGCCGTGCCTTCGGGTCATAGCAGGCACGGGCCTGAGCCAGAGCTCCGCCAGACGGAGCAGTGTGCCCGACCACACTGCTGTACAGAGTGCAAGCACCCTGCAGAACCGTCCGGCATCATGGCGGCAGAGCGGGTGCCCGGTGGATCTCTCCTCCCGGAGGGAGAGAAGCACACCGACTGGCTCGCAGCAGCCCTTATAGGGCTCCACTGGGGGCGGGGCGGCGGCGCGGCTTTGCCCGTGTGGCGCGCCAGAGCCCAGGCGCACGGGACCCCGGCCACGTTGTCGCGAACCGCGACAATTCCGATCCCAGTTTGTACGTGCCCAATGAACTCCATCTCCACACTACGCCCTCATCCGCACAGCTGATTCCCCGATAAGAACTCTACGACCGTACAAGTGACGATTTTCATGCTTTTTCGTCCTGCAGCTTCGTTTTTCACTGAAAGGCGGGCCTTGAAGGCGGAGTCTGGAGGCGGAGTCACTGGAAAAAAGGAGGCGTCACTGAACCTATATTGCGCTATAGCGCCCTCCCTTACAATTTTTTGATGCGAAACCGGTACAAGGTTGTTCGCCGCGGACCACACTACCCTCCGACGCCATATTTTCAACTTCTATACCTGATCGCGGACTGTACCTTTAACGGGAAAGGCAAGCAGACAGCTAACAAGGGAGGTAGTTCAGGTCGTGGTGAGCTTTTTGGAAACGGTTTGTTCCGTGATGTCCATGCATGGACCACATAGATGGCTTTCATTTTTGCTAAACGGTATTGGGAATGCCAAAAAGGGTCGAAAAAATTCGAAAAGATGGGCGATTTGAACCACCTTATTCAGCTCCGTTCTAGCTGTATCGTTGAGAGTGTATAGTTTATGAGGTGAACTTTGAGTAGACATGAAAAACAACGCAGAAGAAGGTCAAAATCCAAGTACTTTACCTGGCATGTGGTGAGCTACATTGAAGTTTCATCGTCATCCCCGCATGCTTCTTCAATGGCTCCCGCATCTCATCGGTTGCAGTGGACGGATGATGAAGTGAAGAGACATTTTTTTCTGGCATTTTTCAGACTTCTTCCTTCTTGGGTTCCTGTGCGCCCGATAATGTGTATAAGCCGCTTATATGCAATTCTATGTTTCACATGTTTCGTTGATTTTTATCCATAGATGGTTAGATTTGTGCCTGTATAACATCCGTCATCCGCTGACTTGATTTGGGCGGCAAGGGACGCGACGCGGCTGCGGTGTTGCGAGCGCGGCGATCAGCTGTTTCCAGCCTATTTTAGCCATTTTCTCCCTAGTTTACGCTGTTTTGGCTGCTTTTCTCACGTTTTCTATTTTTTTTTGAGGTTAGTTGTTTCTGATGCGTCGTCATAAAGCATATTAAGACGAGGAGTGTTTCTTTTGTTTGCAATAGTGTTTTTGGCGATTTTTTTCCAGGCTATTTGTTCGATTGTCTGCTTAACTGTTTAATTGTACGCAAAAAACCAGGAGAACCTCGATCATAATTTAACTTGTGAAGACAAGAATTAAGTAATCGTGAGAAAAGCAGCCAAACAACGTAAACTAGGGAGAGAATGACTAAAGGCTGGAAACAGGTGCGCCGTGCTCGCAACACACCGCAGCCGCGCCGCGCCTTGCCATAATAATCAGGTCCCAGATGACTGTAAACGGCAGTTTCACGTGAAGAGGCAAAAATACCTGAAAGAGTTAGGATTCTAGACGACATCGACCGATTCAGTTTCCACTCATATCAGGGATATTTTCCTTTTTCAGTACTTCGAGAGCTATAAGTTGGTGCAGGGGCCCGTTTGAGAACTTACCAATCCACAGAATATGCGCATAAAATGGCGTACATGCGCCTTATACACATTACAACATACCCATTACATACATACATACACACAAGTTTCTGTGGGGCACACAAACTCAAGAAAGAAATCTGAAAAAAGCAAAACAATGTCTCCAAGGGGATCAGATCCACAACCATCGCAGATAGGGAGTCCGTTGCTCTAAACACTGCGCAATCCGTCCACTGCGAATGATGAGATGCGGGAACCACTGAAGAAGCATGCGGGGATGACGATAAAACTTCATTTGACCTTCTTCTGCCTTGCTTTTCATGTCTACTCAAAGTTCACCTCATAAACTATACACTCTCAACGATACAGCTAGAACGGAGCTGAATAAGGTGGTTCAAATCGCCCATTCTTTTCGAATTTTTTCGACCCCTTTTTGGCATTCCCAATACCGTTTAGCAAAAATGAACCCCATCTGTGTGGTCCTTGCATGGACCCCTACATCATGCAACAAACCGTTTTTAAAAGCTCACCACGACCTGAACGACCTCCCTTGTAAGTTTTGTGGTCAGGCAGGTCGCCCTCGTAGCGTTTGGCCAAGATTCTGCGTAGAATTACCAGTGAGAATATCAAGGAACAATTAAAAAATACGAATTTCTTCATTCACAAGTTGGCATGACCCCAGCATTACAGAGCCCGTTGAGGCTGAATGGCTCGAACTGGCTAGATTTGACCAACACCTGAAATGCTTCAGCAATTACAGTAGCGATAACGCAGCTTGCGCCTTCTGGATGGATCGGATCGCAGCCGTGCAAACAATCTATTCTCTCACTCCATGGAGTCCTTCGAAGGGAAATGTAAAAGATTGCGTGCGAAGGGTAGTACGGGCGGTGATGGACAACTTTGTACCATTTGCTCGCATAAGTCACTTATGCGACACGATGGGCAAATGAGACTCATTCGTCCTTACTGATCCTACTAACAGACAGCGAGAGCTAGGCTCCGCACAGTGGAACCTTCGGTGAGTTGCTCGCAGTCATTACCGGGTTATTCGGAAGCGTTCGCGACACGACGTCGGAAAGTGGGGAAGGCGCTTGGTCGGGTAGGTAACAAATTAAAAGCTTCGAGCCATTTTCAGGCCTCTGAAGAAGACGAGAAGGTCGAAACGTTAGGCCAATAAAAAGATTCCATGTAACAACTTCCTTCAGCGGAAGCAACTAAACATTCACTTTGCTTTTCTTTTTCACCAGTTACTTCTTTTTCGTTTTTTTTTCTCTTTTTTGGTTTGTCTTGCCTTTCTCTTCCTTTTTTGTTTTCTTTTTCATTATTCATTCCATCATTCTTTGTCTTTTCATTTACGGTTAGTTACGTCAGTAGTCCATTAGTCCATTCACCCCAGACTGATTGAAATCGCGTAAATAATGTTTCAGATTTCTTCCAAGACACATTCCGCGACCACCAGATGGGCGGAGACTCATAACTCATAGCCAGTGTGCCTTTCTCATTGGTACGCCTCTGCTTCTGTATGGTAAAGGGAATGGCCGCGCTACTTAGGAACACACAGCAAGAATGCGTTCATACTTTGTGTCGGCATTTTGATTGCACGGCAGCGTTTCGAGTGGCAATTAAAGCATAGGTGTCGATCCAGCGCTTTAAGCGTAGCTAGCATGTTCAGCAACTCAAAGTGAACTCAATCACTGAAAACGCTCAAAACACTAACGCAGAGTATAACGCACTCCAAGTAGGCGCCTCTGCCCATCACATTACTGTGCGATGCGCCTTTAGGTTTTTTGCAGGAGTGCTTATCTGAAAATTATCCTAAATTACCCCAACTGCACCTGATAACCTTCCTTTTTCATCATTTTTATTTAGTATGGACAACAGCAACTTCGCTATAAACATGCGCATAATGTAGAAAAAAATATGTGATAACACCGATGGTACCGATGTAAAATCAATAATTGTACTAAAAATCGTCTCACACAACCACCTTCACAAATATCTTTGATCCGTAACCGCGAATATGTGAAACATGAACAAAAGTAATCCTAAGAAAAATCCTGAGTAAGAGCACCAGCAATAATTCTCGCATGAAACTCTAATGACTTCTATGCGTATCTGGAGATTATATTACCCGGTCAACAGCGGAACGGTAAACAACAATAAACAATTGCAAAAGGTGAAAAACACACAAATATGGTAATAATTGCATTACAGAATAGGTCATGAGTTAGGTAACTGTAGCGAGACAACTTGGCCACGAAGTTTCTTTCCAGCAAGCGACGAAACGGGGTGCTTTTTTGAGCGCACATAAAAAAACTTTTGTAATGAAAGGACATTTGAAATAGTGCAGACGATTCCATAATACCATGACTTACTCCATACAGAAAACCAGTGGGTTCTTGTTGGGGGGGTCCACGGTTAGCGCGATTACAGTATTGTGGGGCGTCTTAAGAGAGGGGGGGGGGTGGCAGGACTGCGTTGCCCTTTTTCCACATTGTTGTCACTGCCGCGAAAGAACGGGCGTGCTCCGTCGCCCAAAGCTCGCCCCCCGACTAGAACTGCCACAGCATCCGCAGCGAATACGACTGTGGTCCACTTTCTGCAGCACACCTGACAAAGATCCGCGGATTGACGCGCTCTGCACTCTTTTAACGGGTTTCTAAGCGGGTAACAAAACGGACCACTTAGTAGCGTCGCAAGTGTACCTCTCCCAACTAAAGTACCACCAAAGAAAGCAATAACATTCTCACCTCAGGATTCTTCATGGCCAGCATGCACTCTCCGGTTGGAATACCGTCGTCGCCCATTCGAATGCGAACAGAGTTAGGATCAACCGGATAGCCTTTGAAAAATCCAAGCACATCTTCCATGGTGACGTCAGAGGGGAATCCGCAGCATGACACAACTGTTCCTCGAGGGCCTAACGAAGCGACGAGATCATCGGTGGCAGCTGCCGGCTGAAACATCAAGCTCAGTTGGATTGAAAGTTTTTTATTCATGGTCAAGGAGCCATACACTGCGCTTCAGTGTTACTAATTTTTATCGCTGCTATAATTCGAGACTAAAATCACCAGAGTGAAACTGAATAGCCTAATACCTTTCGGGAGCGAACACAGCTTCAGTACGTCTAAACATCCCCATAGTTCATGATAAATGCTAAAGAAATATTAGGTGAGGGGAGGGGAGTATGTGACAAGACAATCGTAGCATGCCGCGCTGGTGGGCATGGCGAGCGACGCAGCGTCCGACAGACGAAGTAACCTGCATCCCTGTTTGAATTCGATTGTTGAAGAAAATCGGGAAAATTCGATGTCGGCTCGCTCATGAAGCGTTCGTCTTCAGTGAGAGTCAACATCGTTTTCGGCAAGCACCAATTGGCTGTCCTGAAGATTGTTCGCTCAGGGATTGCCGCGCGTCGCCGCTAGATATGCCACGCCCGTGTCGCGACAAACACGACTGTGGTGCCCGTCTTCTATCACATTATGGTGCTTATATAGTTCGAGCTCTATATGGTAATGTTAATGTTACGTGTTAGGACACACCACGATGCCACATACAGTCCTCATCATTGCAGACCGGTGGGGCGTATCAGCCAGAAGGAGCGCGCACATTGTTGGAGCCGTTCTCAGCCTTTTTTGTTGCAACGCGTATGCGACAAAAAGTGGTAGAAAACGAGTAATACGAAGGAATATAATACAGTAATGCACTTGCCCGCTTCAAAAACTGGTGCAGAACGATTTTGCCGAACCGCACCAAACGCAGCCGCACTGCCACACCCCACCGGTCCGCAATGATGAGGACTGTAGCATCTATTGCACATCGACAATGAGGAAATCGCGAACTACAACAAGCACCATTTCCACGCCACTTCTTCCAGATTTTTTCATGGGGGGCGCAGGAGTATGTCCTGGCATTAGGGAAAAATTTCAAAAATCGTCACCTCTTGAAAATTCCCTACTAATGGTAAGACCCGCCCTTACCCCATTGCTCCCTGTCATCTTCTAAATTCCTACACTTCCACCGACTTTATCGCGAGAACTTTGCCAATTTTGCTCAAAAAACATACTGCAGAGCAAGAAAAGGGGAAGGAAGATAGCACACAGTAAACGGGATAGAAAATCAAGAGAAGAGAACGGAGTAACTTCTTTCTCGAAACACATAATTACGACCCTCTCGCTGAGGTCTCCCCAAAGTACCATGTCCCCGGTCGATGGTCAATTCACAGAGGAGAGAGAGAGAGAGAGAGAGAGAGAGAGAGCAAGATAGCTTCAGTGTAGGCGAACCAGTTCTTTTGTTCAGAAAGAAATTTCGCATTTTGATGATGATGATTCACCCCACACCGCAGCGTCGCACCCTCTCTCCCTCCTCACCCCGGTTAACTAGTACGTTGCATGTATAACTATTTTTCGTCGAGCTTAATTCGTGTCCGCGAGTGAGAGTACACTTCCTAACCCGTCACGTATTCCACTGCTGAGCTGTACTGGGCAAAAGCCAACATGGACACCGATACGATTACAAATATGTGCAAAATATTAGGGGAAAAAATAAACCAGTAGTGAAAACTCTCACCTCCGGTTCTGGACTCTTAGGTGGTTTCGAATTTCTGGTTTTCATCGTGGTTTTCCGTAAGCATATCATGTACGTATTCAGCCCAATGCATTGTCCACCGATGACCACCTGTGTTCCGCTCGTTCCACTGTCTTGAACGCGACAAAGTATGATTATGAAGTAACTCAAAACAAGTTCTATACAATTCATAAAAGTAGGAGAAAGCGAGAAAGAAACTTGTGAATAGGAACATGAGGGTAAAATACTGAAAATCAGAGGCATCGTGCGACAGAATCTGGGGTGGGGACTGATCGGATTGATACTGACAGGAGCTGAGCTCCATCCCAGGTGCTCTCGGTACTAGACCAGGGCATGACAATGCAAGTTGAAACGTATTCAATGAAAGCACATCATCTGGTTCCGAAAAGCAGCCGTGGGTATGCGGTTATGAAGGTGTAATACAGGAGACTCAGTGCCTAATAGAAGCAATGTTACATTCCCCAGTTTTTTTTTGACTAGAGCTACTAGAAGAGAGCACTTCCACCAATTCGAGTGAAGCTCTGGTGCGAATGTCGCTCATTCGTAACAACCCACTCGTAAGCATTTTCATTTCAAATATCGCTAAGCGTGGATCTTCCAGTTTCCACCAGCTTACGAATGGTTATTACGCCCCGCACAACATTCTCAAAGCTTGAGCATCTTCAGAAAGTTACCAAACGCCCCCTAAAAGATCGGGATTCCGACATCAAAACGCACTACAACTGCCTCAAGACCCTTGGAGACGCTCTGTTGAACTGGTGGAGTGATGAGGATGGCGGCGGCTATATACACTCCACATCGGAGACGTGGAGAGGGGACGTGACTGAGAATTAATTTTTTAATGAATATTTCCATAACTGTCAAGTAACAAAAATGTCCTAGCAGAGCAGCCGCGGCGGTAGTGTTCAAGTGAAGCAGCCACGCCTGCCCCATCTTCGGGAAATGGAGTGCAAAGGCTTAACGTTGAGCTAACAAACGTAGACCCATACCACACACATGCACGCCACCTCCACAAACCAAAGACTGTGGGGGCCATACTCTGCCATAGATCAATGAAAGAGATCAATGAAATAAACATAGCTGGGTAGACCATTTTTAGCTGAGTAGACTCATTTTTGCTTTCGCCAGTAAAGAAATCAGTAATGAACAAGTGGTTATTAAGTGTACAAACAAATACGTAGAGACCTACCAAATGCACCACGTCCTCGGCCTCTGGGCCCATCACGAGGGAACGACGATGGTGGAAATCCTCTTCCCATGCCCCTTCCTCGTGCTCCAGGACCTGCATCTATCATACTGTTGACTATAATGGTCAATTATGCGTCTAACCTATTATATCACAGGACAAAAGAAAACGCAAGAAAGATCTGAATAAACGCTGATTACCTCCGTTCGCACCAGGATAACCTCCAGGACCAAACGCTGATACGCCACGTGCTATAGCAGCATTTCTAGCTATAAATGTATAGATTTTAAAGGAAAACTCTGATAAGCAAGAACCGAGGGAACCTTGTAAAAAAACAACAAACCGGGAGGAGGGAAAAAGGAGACAGGTGCACCGCGATCTACTCCAAGACCAAAGCTGCTCACGGGTTCAGCCATCAGCTGAAAAACAGAAATATGACCTTACATCCGCTTAACTAGATGTATAACTCCAAATTATTACTGGTTTGATAGAATCTCGATGATCTATGATAGTGGCCGTCTTTTCGCAGCTCTCTTTCCGACGCTCGCCATATTTGTCTTCAATCTTTAGCAATTCATCGGCCAGGTCATTTTCAATATGACACATTCTAAACAAGAAACAACTGATACGAAAGCTAGCAACCATGCTTCTCTAATTGATTGGAGCCACACTTCGGAGCGATGAAATGTTCCTTCAACTCCCTAGGATTAGCCTTATTAGTCGATGACAAAAGCCC